CCTCCTCCGGTCACTGCCCCCCAGACCCACGCCTGTGCCCCCCTCGCCTCCTCCGGTCACTGCCCCCCAGACCCACGCCAGCCCCCCTCGCCTCCTCCGGTCACTGCCCCCCAGACCCACGCCTGCCCCCCCTCGCCTCTTCCAGTCACTGCCCCCCAGACCCACGCCAGCCCCCCTCGCCTCCTCCGGGCACTGCCCCCCAGACCCATGCCTGTCCCCCCCTCGCCTCCTCCGGTCACTGCCCCCCAGACCCACGCCTGCCCCCCCTCGCCTCTTCCAGTCACTGCCCCCCAGACCCACACTTGTGCCCTCTCGCCTCCTCTGGTCACTGCCCCCCAGACCCACGCCTGTCCCCCCTTGCTACTGCACGTGCCCCCAGACAGGGTGGGGGCTGTGGCCTAACTTTGCTGCTCCTTCTCAGCAGCTTCCTGGAGCTCCCCCAAAAGAGCACTGAAATTGAACTGGGGGTGGGGGTGGTGGTTGCAGGAGATGCCGGGAGGGTCGGAGCTTAGGGGCCTCATCAGCCTCTCCTGGAGCTGGCCTGGGAAGTCCACCCCTTGAGTGCGGGGGAGGGTGTGAGGGGGATGTGAGGGCTGGGCTGGACAGCACAGGTGCTGGGGGCTCCATGGCTCCGCCTGGGTGGGGACGGGGGAGGGGGGAGGGGGGATGGCAGCTTGTGGTCCCGTGGCCACAAGTCGTCAGGATAGGCCGGCAGTTGATGGGTTGAACGTACAGAATGTCGGTTATAGCAAACGCCCCCCTACTTTCCTGGTGAGCGGGGCCCCTCCCTGAGAGGTGGCGCTGGTCCCCTGCTTGTCCCTCATGTGCGCGAGCCCTTGGACGGGCTGTTCTTACTGTGCTTCTGGGCTTTCTGTAAAAGGGGCCATGCCCTCTCTGTTCCTTTGCGCGTCTTGTTTTTGCCCAGTCCTTACGTTTCGGGGTGATGTTGCGCCGGTAGCTGCCGCTGCCACGTGGTGGTCCCTGCAAAATGATGGTGTGGGTCCCTGCTGTCAGGGGACCTGTGGCTCGTTTCCAGGTGGCAGCCAGTTTCATCCGTGCTGCTGTCGGCATCTGAGTGCCGGTCCTCTCCACGTGTGTGGCTGTGGGCGGCCAGGCCTGTCGTAAGCACATGCCTGTAGTAGGGTTTGGGGGTGTGTGCTCAGTGTTACTACCAGGCGGCTCCAGGGAGTGTGGTTGTGCCAGCTCCGGCCCCCACCGGCGGGGATGCGTGTCCCCAGTGCTCTGCATTCT